TTCACAGTGTCATGAATCTGATGTGACCACCTAATAACCATTGATTCAATAGCATGTAGTACTGCCCTGGAATTAGGATCTTGTCTGCAAAATACGGAAAAAGCCCCTGGATTTCAAAGCAAGTACTGTACTGCGATAGTACAGAGCTCTTCTCCTCCCACCCCCTTTACATTTAAGGATGAACAACTGGAATTTGGAATTTAGTTCTGATGGGAGGAAAATCGTAAGAAAAAACCCCCTTAAGACAGAGCTAAAAAGGCTGTTTATGAAGACATGGATCACACTTTCAGATGTATTTACTGTTCAGAACCATAGCCAAACGCCCTCTCAGTAATTATTGGCAGCAGATCCTTTGAATGGTTCCTTGCAATTATTCCAGATGTGAAAAATCTGTATTTCACTGTTTAATTTTCTAATAAGTAAGTTACATGGTAATTTGGTGTTTGGATGAACGCTGATAGTTAACATAAATATTAAGTAGATTTTATTTAATATATTTTTTATTACACTTTGCCAGTGTTTACAAAAAGAGGAACTAACAACACACAGCAAAGCATTTTAATAACATATTAATGGAACATTAAAGTTTACATTCTCCCTTTCACACTCTATTTTTTTCCCTTCAGTCCTTTCATTTAGGCTAATCCATCTGTTGTGCCTCAGTTTTAGCTCCATACTTACTTACACTATTCTGCCTGGCACACCTGCTTCACTGCCGTGACATAAGCAAGGAGCTGGCCCTGACCAGGGCCTTCAGAATCATTTATTATTGACAGGATTATAAATCTTTGCTTATCCAACAACTGATTATCAATCATCTCTGTACACAGTCAGTCCTAAACTGAAATCAAGACTTTGGTTTACTTAAACTGTGAGCTCTCTGGGACACAGCTCATATTATCGCTGTTTCTATAGGCAACAGATGCACATCCCAATGATTAGTGCCACGCTCCTTTTTGATTCCATCCTTTGAGATGAGTACTAATCTCAGCAAAAACAATCAGATGCCTTTTATGATAAGAGTTCAGTTCACATTAAACACTCAAGGCAACAGAGAAGTGCAATCTATTGGAAACACATTTAAAAGGTAATTCTACAGAATAACCCTATTTTGTACTCTGGAAGCATAGCTTCATGTGATTCAAAATCCTGGTGACTCTACAGACAGCTTAAATCTTGCCTTTGAAATTAATAAACCCAAAACAGAAATTCTTGGAAATTCATGTTTTCATATGACAGAGCAATTACAGTGTTTAAAATATATTAATTGCACATAAAGTACTTTAAAACACCTTTCGATGCTTAGAAAAATGGAGTAATAAAAATATTATGTTTGGAACACTAAGTATTTAATTACTTTCTTGTTAATGCAATTTACTACCAGTTTACATCTGAGACTAAAAGCCACCAAAAGCAACGCGCTTTTTGCCTTCCCCCCTCTCCCCCCCCTGTTGCACAGGTCACGCAATAGTCTTTCCTTACTTATTTTCAGCATATATTTGATGCAAGTCAGTCTTTGCTGCACCTGTGGGAATGGGAAGATGAGTTCTTCCTGACATCAGTCCTTTCATAATTTGTGTTTTATTTTTCATGATTTCCACATGATGCTCCATATCTTGGGAAACACAACCTGGCCAGGACGTATGGTTTTCCTTATTGCTTAGAATAGGCACTAACACCTGGAGGCAAAGCGGGAGAAGTAACATTACAAATCAGTAGCAACACTAACGTGGCTATTGGTTTGCATACTGCAAACCGCTTCTTTAAATCTGAGAAGAACAAGCTAACCCAAGCCACACTTCTGAAACTCATGACTATTTGAATCAAAATCAGCTTTATATTTTCTTTTTCTATCAGCATAAATATGTACTTGAATTTCAGTCAAATTGTACTGTAGATGGAAATCATGTTTTGGGATGGTATTATTTCTCAGTCAGCTGAAAATGGATACTGAGCAGCTTCCAAAACTCAGAAGAAGTTTACACCACTTTTATCATCTCTCTCCTCCTTCCCTCCCTTATCTCAAAAAATAGAACCAGATTGGGAGTAGGGGGAGAGGGGATCAGGCATAGTTTCATATGACCTATACCCAGTATTTTCCTAACGGGAGAAACCAATACCCTCCTTTCTGTGGTTTAATAGCCACTAATATATACCATTTAAAGCCGGCTTACTTGCAGGCTATAAACTCATATTTAAAATAATTTCCTAGAAACAGGCACCTGTGATAGCCTTTGGAAAGATATTTTTTCTGTGATGCAAATGCATAACGCTGATTATGAATTTTGTTCCAGTTCACACACTTATTTTAAATCCTTCAGCTTCTTTCACTACATAAACATTTCCTAACTTCTCTCCACTTTGTTTCTTAAACCATGTCAGTACAGAGTTCTGCTCGGGAAAGCACATAGGAACTTGAAGTATGTTACTATTTGTGTCATTACACTTAAAATTAAGCACATGCTCAAATCAAAGCACTTTGCTGAATCAGGTCCAAGCCATAGACAGATTAATTAAAACTTCACGCCAGCATCCCAAGTGAGCTAAGTCTTGGAGGAATGTCTTCATCAGTGTATGGACTTCAGTCACTTCAGGCCCTCATAAGGCTCAAAGTATTTTATTACCAAACATCAAAATCGATGAGTAACCTTTGAGTTACAGAATTCAGGGAGATGGACCCTTGCCGTGAACTCAGTTTTAGGGCCCAGGACAGCTAAAGATGTGCTGCTACATCCGTACCACATCCCATGGACTCCTCTCTGTGCCAGAGCGATTTACGAACAAAAAACTGAAAAATAACAGAAAGGGAAGCAATAAGGAAAACAGTGATGCAAGACTGCTCTTGCACAAGCAGTTACAAACTCGAGGTTCACTTTTAGAGTTCAGTTTTGCTTGCTTTGACAGTGAAGACATGAACAGTGCAAGAGCAGCCTCAGCATACCTGTTGCTTTGCAATTGTTACTCAACTGTGACGTGTAAGCAAGTGGGCAAAAAAATGAGCTAGAGAAGCTAGGATGAGCAGCACAGTGCTTCTGCTTATCTGTTTTAACCATCAGCCCTCTCCCAAGACCTAATTTATTAGGCCCTGATAGAGTAACGAACAGTTTCTTCAGCACTTTGAAGCTCACACTCCTCCACCCAAGCCTGCAGCTGAGCACCGCCAGCTGCTTCAGAGCAGCGGAGCCCCGATCCCAGGGCAGCCTTTCCTCCCCTCCTAAAAGCCTTCCTGAGATCTCTCACTCGGGCCAGTTCCCATCTCATCCATGAAAAGGGCATGCCTTACACTGCTTGCATGCTCCCTAGAGACTCGTAAGGCAAACATTAATTTAATGAGTTCATTTGTGGCTTTATGAAGGAAGTTACGCTCCCTTAACATAATAAACCTCTTAAACGTCCCAAACTTCATAAATCTGATATGGTTTGGGTTTGCTCCAGTACAGAAAAGAGGAGCAAAAGTGACATTTTGGGGGGTTATTCTTCTGTTGTTGAACACTGAAGTCAGGGTATGAGATGTCACTGGAGTTTAGAGACTAGATTTAAATATCACGGCTATAAATGAAACTCCTTGTGTATATACTGAGCAAGCACTAAATTCATGTCAAAAACTCTAAACTTTCTCATTTAGTCTCTCCTTTGCAAAGGGCTTTAAAATACTTTAATTTTAAGATAAATTTTTAAGCACTTTTTGCTGAAGACTTTTTTTTTTTTATAACACAGATGAGCAATACATGAAGACTGCAAGTTATGAGATATTTAAGCTAAAAACTAGCAGGTGCTACTGCTGGGAAATTTTGGCTTCTCTCTGCAGAATATGCCAGTTAAGTAAACAGCCACTATAGTGCTACAGATACCGTTTGTGACAACCAAATCTTAAGGTATTTGTTTCCATAACGTCAAACCAAAGGAGAAATAACCCCATTCTCATTTTAAGCAGAAATACCTAAGCCAGCTGAATGCCTCTATCAGGTTTCACAAAAATCAGCTTCCTTAATAAACACAGATTTAGCAACAAACTGTGAACTTATTTGTCAACTTCCTCTTCTCTTTTCTTTATGCTAGTCACGATTTGCTCTCAGTCTTTTTCTCTTCCTTACTAATCTTTGAAAAAAACTTGACCTTTGCAAACTGTCCAACAGTGGATTTCAGATGCATTCAGGTTGCTGTGCTTGAAATCCTTCTCCTTTGAAGTTGGTGCGAGCTTTGTCACGGGCTTCAATCAGGAAGAGATTTACATCTCGGCAGGAGAGTTGCAGTTCTATCCCTGCCCCTATTCATAACCGCTGTCTCTCAAGATCAAACCACCGAGATAATGACCAGCCTGAATGCTGCCAGCAAAGCAGGCAGCATTACTAAAAGACAAGAAGATGAAAACTATTCTTTTTGTCACTGCCATCAGTATTTATACACAGTATCTGTAATACTGCGGCATAAATGGCACACATTTATTGCCTTCTTGAAACATCACTTTTTCCACAGAAATGCAGGAGTAACAACTAAAACTCTTCTGTGAAACCTGTTTGGCTGTCCTGGTCTTAAATCTGGGTTTCCTGAACTCCAACTACGGACATGAACTACTATATTGGTCTCTTCCTCAATCCAAAATTTGATCCTGGATCTGTAATTACAAAAATTTACCCAGAACTAGGGTATTTCCATTTAAAAACATGTTATTTTGATGAGCCAACGCTTCTCA